TATTGATTCCAAGAACATAATTATTTGGTTTTAAATCTCTATGAAAATATCCTAAACTATGTAATTAAGAAACACCCTTTACAATCTAAAATAAATAAAGTTATTTACTTGCAAGCAAGCTTTTCTCTTATCTGGTAGATATTATAACTCAAAGTTCCTCCCAAGTTCCATAATTGTGTAAAATCCATCTTCTTTCTCTTCAATAGCAATTACCTGAATGATACTCTCAAATTGCTTTCCTTTCAAAGACATTAAAATATGTTTTTGATATTAGGATATTTCTTTTTAAATTTTAAGTGCCACTTTCCCTCCGTCAATTTCAGCTTCAATAATGATCCCATTGGTTCCACCATTAAGATTATTTCCTAATTTAACATTAATATTTTCGACTTTGACTTTGTACATTAATTTCTAATTCAATTATTATTTAAAAAAAAATTTTCGAATAAAAACCCGTCATTATTGTTCTAATTATGAATATTTACTAATTAGTTGTTAAATGAAGATAAAAGATTATTTAAAAACAAGTTTAAAAATCATACCTGTAAAATATCAAATCCAAAATATAAAAATTTTTGTAATACTGCACAATTGTAAATGGATAAAATTATGCTTATTTAAATACAAAAATATTCATAGATCTAAATATAAAGTTGAATTATGGAGGAAATTAAGAACTTACTTCATTTCGTTTCTGAATATATAATGAGATTGAGAATAGATCAAAAGTTTCAATTGAAGATGGCACATATCATCCTGGCTATATTGCTGGAGAAATTGAAGAGCAAATAGGAATAAATTTTATAGAAGTTTGGGGTATAGGAGGTAAAGAAGCCCTAATCTAATATAATAGAATAAATATAGATAAGATAGAATGGAAGAGTGTAAGAATTGATTACATATTATAGATTGAAGATAATGAGGAAAGTAGATAAGAAATAAATCTTTAATGGATTTGATTAGGCTATACTTTTAAAGTAAACTTTTGCTCATAGATTTCATTTTATAGAAGTGATTGAAAAGGATTGATAAAACTGAAAGTGTATTTAATTGTTTAAAATTAACGATTTTAGAAATTCTTAATTTTATCATATTTCTATTTTTAAAGCATCCAACTCTGATCTGCTTATTATTTCTATATAATTTAGAAATTAATATACTACTTTTTTAAGATCTTAATGAATATTTGATAATCTCTCTTCATCTCCTTTTACTCTAGGTTTTTCAATACTTTTAGTTCTTCTTGAATTTATTGGATTTTTCATTTAATTATCCCAAATCATAATCTCTTATTTCAATAAAATCTTTATAAATCAAAAGCATCGAAATTATTGTTATCTGTTTATTATTTATTGTCACTTAATTTCTCTCTTAATGGCTATTCAGGTGGTTGATATTCTTTTTTTTATTGAATCCATAAAAAATATTTGATTGATGGAAAAATTTATTTTGAATTGAAAAATTCATTCTTGAAGGTGATCCAGAAGATTTCGGAGAATTAATAAAATTTGTATTATTAACAAAATTTAGTCCTACAATTTGCATCAGTTTATTACGAATCTGTACTTCTTAAATACTAATAATTATCATTGGTGAATATGAGAGAAGAAATTAGGAAATGATCTCTTCTCCGAGATTAACCCTTGTTCATAATTGCTAATATATCATCCATAAAATTACTTCAACTTTTCATTAATTTAGTTCCATAATTTCTAGAGTTTGAACCATCAATTAATTATGAGAATTATCATAAATTTATTATAACAGGCAAAGCACATCATTTTATTAAAATATTTTGAAATTCTCCACCTTGTCAAAGCCAATTTTTCAGACATTAGATAGGAATAATAATAATTTTGACTATCAAAGGTTCGTTCTTTTAAGCAAGTTTTTATGTATTTTTGTAATTACGGTCCTTTTTCTTATTTATCCATTTAAATATAACTGTATTTAATTTGTGATTCAATTCATTTTTCTCTCCAGCCTATTTGCCCAATACTTTATATTAATGAATATTCCATTCTTCTTTTTCTAATTGAATATAATAGCCATTAACCAATTGATGAAGATTTTTCTTGACTTATTCTATTTTTTCTTGAATTGATTGGATCAGTTGAGAATTTTCTTCATCGAAAAATGATGTAAAATATTTCTTTATCTAAAATAGTTTTATAAAACATTTTCATATGCTGAAGCAAATTATTTTTGTTATTGCATAACTGAAAATTTAAATTATTCATTTATCTTAATTTGTTTGTATTTACAAATATGTTAGATTATAATTATTTTATTATTTTTTTCATGTATTCAATTTGAGAGAAACTTAGTCTGCTACTTATTTTAGACTTAATTTATTTTTGATTCTCTAAATACAATTCATTTTGGTATTTCGATCTATTATTGAATTACAAAACTAAAGGAGTTGCAGTTGGAATATTCAATTCAAACAGTTCTGTTACATAGTTCAATAGTTAATATGAAGAAATAATAAAATACTTTAATTTATAAATTAATTTTTAAAATTAATAGTATAAGAAAGATCGCTTAATTTATTCAGACAACTTCTTTATGATATATAATAAAGAACGTTATGATTTGCTATGACTGACCACAAGTTCCTACTTATTCTATAAAATCCTACCAATAAGGTCTGACTCTTATGGTTACATCTTCAAAATTTTCGCTACTTCCATCTTTAGAATAAGGAGGTTTATAGGAAAATGATCTCCACACTGTTTGATCTATTCCTCTCAGTACTTTATGGAAGCCTCTTTTTAATTAATGCCTTATAATATTCCATAAAGTCTTTCATTAATCGCCTTCTACTTTTTTATGTTACCCATAGAGAATTCATTGTTTCTAACATTATATTTGCTGAATTATGGATCTCTTTAAAATGATGTATGGACTATATCAAAAAAGTTTGATTTTTTTATAATTGTTTAGCAGCATCTTAAACCTCTTAAATTTCTTTATTTGATAAATTGACCAACCAAATGAATTAGTTATTTAAGAAGATCTTTTCATGATTTATCAAAACTAATTTCTTCATTAATTCAGAATAATTGTTGATAAAATCAAATGCCTTCACATAATTTATAAAGTATTTTCTTCAAGTATGCATTTCTTCTATATTTTTAAAGAAAAAAGCAATGCACAAGATTGTTTGATTTTAAATATGAAGATTCTAAGTCAAGTTCAATTAAATCAAAATCTTCATTAGGTTTTGTTTCTATCCTAATATTAATAGAAAAGATTTTTCCCCAATTGTTTTCGATAACCAAAATCAAGTGATAGAAATTCATTATTTTTTTAAATAAAGATTATGAATAATCCTAAACACTAGCTAGAAACTTTATTTTATATTTTTGCCAACGTTTTGGAAGTTGATGAAGAAATATTCACTTAAATAATAAAATTTTTTTCAAAAGAAAACATATTAGATACTATTGAATATCTATCGATAGAACTAAATCAAAAACATCTTTAATCAAGCATCATAAAACTAAAGAATACATCAAATACAGATGAACTAAACAAGTTAGAAGATTTAGGAAATGACATTAAGGTTATTCTTAATACTCTCAAAAAAATTAAAGACAATTACATTAATTTTAAGAATTTCTCCTCTGAGCAATATTTAGAATTAAAAAAAGATATAATTAGTAAAATAAAAGAAAATAACAAACTCAAATCATTTTTAAAATTTTTAATCCATCTAACTGCTGTAGATAAGTAATTCATAGTATGTGGATCAAATTCACTTCACTTATTAGTGGAAATGAATGTAGATTTATAAAACTAGTGTTTTGAAAATATAAGGATTGAGAATACCTCTTTAATTGGTGGAAATTTCGTAGAATGTAATTTGAGTGGATCAAATTTTAATAATGTTGATATTAGTGGAATAAATTTAAATGGTGCGTAACTATTTAACTGTAAATGGAGAAATATAAGAATACTAGAATTAAATAAATTAAATGGTCATACTAGTAGGGTAAAGTCAGTATGTTTCTCTTGTGATGGAGCTACTTTAGCATCTGGTAGTGAAGATAAGTCAATCAGATTATGGGATGTGAAAACAGGATAATAAAAAGCTAAATTTGATGGTCATACTAGTTAGGTAATGTCTATCTGTTTCTCTCCTGATGGAAATACTTTAGCCTCTGGTAGTTTTGATAAGTCCATCAGATTATGGGATGTTAGGACAAGAAAATTAAAAAACTAATTAGATGTTCGTGATAGATGTGTAAACTCAATATGTTTCTCTCCTGATGGAAATACTTTAGCATCTGGTAGTGATAACTCTATACGTTTGTGGGATGTAAAGAAAGGATAAGAAAAAAATAAATTAGATGGTAATACTAGCAGTGTTTATTCAGTCTGTTTCTCTCCTGATGGAAATACTTTAGCAACTAGTAGTAGTGATAACTCTATACATTTATGGAATGTAAAGACAGGATAAGAAAAAAGTAAATTAGACGGTCATACTAGCAGTGTTTAATCAGTCTGTTTCTCTCCTGATGGAAATACATTAGCATCTGGAAGTGGTGATAGGTCTATATGTTTGTGGGATGTTAAGACAGGATAATTAAAAAATAAATTAGATGGTCATACTAGTTATGTAATGTCAATCTGTTTCTCTCCTGATGGAAATACTTTAGCATCTGGTAGTGAAGATAAGTCTATATGTTTATGGGATGTTAAGACAAAATAATTAAAAAAAAAATTAGATGGTCATACGAAAAGTGTTTACTCAGTCTCTTTTTCTCCTGATGGAAATACTTTAGCATCAGGTAGTGATGATAAGTCAATCAGATTATGGGATATTAATACTCAATAATAAAAAACCAAATTAGAGGGTCATGATTATTATGTCCTATCAGTATGCTTCTCACAAGATGGAACTACTTTAGCATCTGGTAGTAATGATAAGTCAATCAAATTATGGGATGTTAAAACAGGATAAAAAAAAGCCTAATTAGATGGTCATTAATATGCAGTCTCATCAGTATGCTTTTCACCAGATGGAACTACTTTAGCATCTGGTAGTTATGATCACTCAATCAGATTATGGGATATTCAAACAGGATAATAAAAAGCCTAATTAGATGATCATTAATATGCAGTCTCATCTGTATGCTTCTCTCCAGATGGAACTACTTTAGCATCTGGTAGTGAAGATAAGTCAATTAGATTATGGAATGTTTAAACAGGATAATAAAAAGCCTAATTTGATGGTCATACTAGTTATGTAATGTCAATCTGTTACTCTCCTGAAGAAGGAAATACTTTAGCATCTGGTAGTAATGATAAGTCAATCAGATTATGGGATGTTAAAACAGGATAATAAAAAGCCTAATTAAATGGTCATTAATATGCAGTCTCATCAGTATGCTTCTCACCAAATGGAAATACTTTAGCATCTGGTAGTGAAGATAAGTCAATCAGATTATGGGATGTTTAAACAGGATAATAAAAAGCCAAATTAGATGGTCATACTGGATGCGTTTACTCAATATGCTTCTCACCAGATGGAACTACTTTAGCATCTGGTAGTGAAGATTACTCAATCAGATTATGGGATGCTAAAACAGGATAATAAAAAAAAGCTAAATTTGATGGTCATACTGAATGGGTTTAATCAGTATGTTTCTCACCTGATGGAACTATTTTAGCATCTGGTAGTGGTGATAAGTCAATCAGATTGTGGGATGTTAAAACCGGATAATAAATATAATCTTCAGTTAAAAAGTATAAAGAAATTTTCGCACAATTTAAAACGCCCATATTTTTAAACTTTCCTTTTCCTGATTGTATATATATATTTTATCTAGATATTCATTTCCCTTTCCTAATCATTTAATAAAAATTGAACTTTGAAGCATAAGGAGCTTTAATTCTTCAAGGGGAATTTGTAAATCAATCAGGAATAGTTTTGAAAAATTTATTCAAGCAAAAAGGAAGTTTCTTTTTAGAAAGTGTAAATTAGAATTGATTTTTATTCAAATATTTACAAACATTTCTAATTTCTTTTTTTAAGATATTATAAAAATAATCATTTTTTTGAATTGGCTGAAGAAATACCTCAGTTTCGCCCATTAGAAGTTTATTTAAGCAGTCGCATACCATTTTGTGAATTGTTCAATGATGAATGTACTGATTTATTTTATGATTTTGAATTG